AAGAGTGTACAAGAACCCATCTGGTTGTGATGTGTTTTTTTTTACTTTAGGCAGAGTTCCTCAGTGCTGATGTTAACCATTTTATCCACCCAACTGCCATGAAAACACAAGCAAGGCATTAGTCATCCTGGTAGGCCTCTTGGAAAGGACAGGAAGACTATGCAAGCCTTTAACATTTAACAAAAGAGTGCTAAAACATTATGATACCCCCAAAACTTCAGGAAGTTTTAGGTCATTTTGCAACTTAGGCTATACAGAAGTACTGAATAATAGTTGAGCAGGTTCTGGCTCTTGTAGTGACAAACTGGAGCAAAACCATTTGGGAGCATCTTGCAGGCACTGCTGGACACAAAATAGCCTCACAAGCAGTGTTGAAGTGGAATACAAGGGCTAGAAAAGGCACAGAATTGGACAGGAAGTTTGAGAAACATGTTTCAATAGGACAAACATAGAATGTGTGATTAAATAAAAAGCAATAACCACCAAAACTATAAACCCAAAATGTCACATATCAAAAGTAATTCTGGAATAAGACAGTTCAAAACACACAGAATACACAATTACTTTAAAAGTTTTAAAAACTGTATGTTTACTTTGTTCAGCTTGCATAAATTCACATTAGAGTACTATTAATGATCCCATTTCTAATTCATTTCAGTTAGTCCACACATTCTAAGGAAATTTTTGTGAAGTAGGACATGCATTTGCCAGGAGAGAACCTAGGTCCTACCACAGCTCCAAAAACTGAACACAAGCTGAGCAGTGTTAGGGATTTGACTCTTTTTGTTTTGCTTTGGAAGAGAAATTCAAACATTCAAAGGCAGCAGGAAAGGTAGAAAGGCTTTTGAAAATATCACCATCCAGGCAGGAACATGACAATGTAGGCCAGATAAAAGGCATACCTGGAGTTATGCCAAACTCACACCACTCTGGATCACAAGGAAGTGAAAGATGAAGTCGTTAAACATACTGACAGTTTGAGTGGGACCAAACATACTTAAGTCAGCAGTTTTAATCAAGGAAGGAGACAGTCACTTGTGGTTTCTCTATAATCAACTTTGATAATTCCATAAGGTGACTGAGCCTAAGCCAGTTATAAGCCACTAGATCAAACTTCTTTCTTTTTTTACACAGTTTAATGGAATTTAACAGAGTGCTTCAAATTGCAAAAACACACACAAAGTACAAATCATCACGGCTTGGCAGGGTTGCTTCTTTGTCAATTGTTCCTACTACTTTGGGCTGGTGAAGTCAATCAACAAGACCATCTGGTTTGCCACTGCTGGCTAACAATAAAAAAATAATAGTGGCCAAACACTTTGAGCCTAGGTACGGAAAAGGGCTGTTCTGGAATGTTTTATTTAAGATTGTGGTTTGCCAGTGTTATGTGGGGGGAGAAGATGGGCTGTTCTCCACATCCAGCTTTGCAAGATTCAGCTAAGTTGCTTTTGCTTTCCTCAAGGATGCAATTCTGTTCATTACTCAGTAAATTATCACTTCTGCTGAACTGTCTCCACAATGACAACAGCCAGCACTTAGACCCAGCCATACCACAAAATATCTACATTAAGTAATTTTGAGACACCAGGTCATCTACTACTTTTTTCCTATTTATTTGGTGAAAGCTTAACAAAATAAACAGCAAGCTTCACAACATTGTAACTTCCTCAAAACAAGTGGTACATGCACTTCACCCAACAGATGATGTAGTTCCAGCTAATGGCTTACCCTTTATTAACAGTCTGCAGTCTTTTAGGTACTTTTAAGATCTGTCTTTGGTGTAACACTTAACCCAAGAACAGCTCTAAATTACACTGGAACTTCAAAGCATGAAGTGCAGAACCTTGCTATGAGAGTTAGTCTGAAGCCTCCAAGCCATTGCTTAAGTTACCTGCATGTTCACACAAGTTGAAGATGGAAACCGTTTTCCAACTTTTCTATTTATAAATGCCACTGCAGATTTTGGCAATCAAGTAGCTATTGGCACCAGTAGATTTCCATACATCTCACACCCATGTTTTTCTCACATTTTCATTTTCTTTCTGAATTTAAAAAAAAGGACATTGTTTTCACCTGTTAAATGATGGTGGCAACTGTCCAAAAACCAGGATGAAGGAACCTAGATTACAATTCAATAGCACCAAACAGCAGTCTCTTTTAAATAAGTTTCCTTAGTACTGCTGAAGATAAAGGTCATGCCTGTAAACCTTGCTTATTTTTAGTTCTGCATAATTTTTTCTACAGAAAATATTATCCATTTGTGTTAAACGCAACATTTCTAACATAGCCTCATAACTATTACAGAATACAGGCTAAGGATAGCTGTCTGAAAAAGCTCAAGCTAACAAATCACATTTAAAGAGGTAGCTAAGAACCTTCTACAATACTGGAAATAAGAATGACTGCACATACAAAGGCCATTGTTTTCCTTCAACCTGCTGATCACAGATCCATCTCTTCAGCAGACAGGTGCTAAGACAGAAGGCAGATGGCATACAATCCATCTGAAACATTAAGTCCCTTATTCCTTCCACTTGTTAAACAGTTAAACTTGTGGTCAGAGTCCTATAAACTCAGTGTTATTTTAATAAGCTTTGTTCAGCTGGGCAAGTCAGAAGGCAGCACATAGACTTAGGACACTTGATGCTTCTGCACATCAGTGACAGGCTGCAAGGAAAGGCTTTGCTCATATGAGGCTACTTAACAAGTCATCTTAAAAGGTACCACTGCCACAAAGCCCCTCATCTTCAGATGCTTTGTATTCACTTCTCTAAAACCTTCAACTCCCCTCCAGCTTTCGTCTTCCCAGATACAACTGGCATCACAGAGAAATGAAAGCCAAAAGAGAAACGGCACCAGCTCGTCTCAGCTCCCCCCAAAAGGGCACTGTTCAGTATTTGCTTAATCATGTTGCCTTTTCACATTGATTCAAAGGTCCCTCACATTTGAAAAGCAAACATTCATAGGATCCTAGGACACTCCTTTGACATCTACGGGACTCCAGAAACCCTTACATGAGTCCAAATCCATTAGAGTAGGTTCTCAAAGGGAAAAGTGTCCACTTGGAAAGCTCATGGGAAGGAAACTACTTACTCAGGTAGAAGTGATACCAGCCCAGCTGTCAACCACAATCTCTACTTATAAGCTAAAAAAATCAGCAACAGCAGTAGGGGCACACAATACTTGAAATAACAAGCAAAATATTTAATTATATGAAAAGACTCCAAACAACATTAAATAGAAATATTCTCTCTTATAAAAAGGAAGCTATGGTTTCAAAATCTACCATGAAAACATTCCCTCAAGGGAGGTTTTTATAGCTCTCCAGGAGAGAAACTGCACATGCACTGAAGCACTGCACTTCGTATACTGGAATTTACAGTTTTCAGTCCAATTTGAGAGCTACAACATAACAAATTTAAGAGTCAGCAGCATCTGATGTTTCAGGGTGGTAAGAAACCACTCTGTAGTGCAATGATTTGAGACTTATCTGCCATAACCCATCCTCAGAAACTTCAGGCTTTCCAGCAGGATGGGACTTGCTTGCATGTCAGCCACCACAGATGAAAAAATAAGCTCTAAGCCGAGCAAAACTAAGCAACCTGCATCCTGTTTCTGCCAGTTTGTGATGTAGAAGTTACTAGTAGGAGGATGGAGCAGAGTTACTTTAAACTGTCTCTCAGGGGTGCTGGCAGCCAGTTCAGTTTCACATTCCAAGCAAGCGGATCCAATACAGCTTACAAACAAATCACTGCACAAACCCACTCTTACAATGATGCATACAACTCTGACCACAAATAAACTCAACTTACATAGAATCCCAAACCTGAAAGTAGCCTTGTCCCATTTCTTCAACAGCCAGTGTAAAAATAACACCCACTTCCCCTTGACCTACTGTGTTGAATGCCTGAACCTTTACAATGAGACATCAACTCTCTTCGCTACCACAGAGGCTACTTTAGTCTTCATCACAAAGTTATGGGAACATTTCAGACTCTCAGATTTAGGGACAAAAAGAATTCACCTGGATATAAATGCTTTTTTTTCTTGGAAAACCTCAGTTTACTATATTTTAGTGATCAAAGCTGTAACATTGAGTGTTCTAGCACTGTAAGCATTTCCTAGTTATAACAGTCCAACAAGCAAGTTCCCTTTTTTATTTGAGGGAACAGACAGTACACAGAAATTAAAGCTCCCAAGAACTTTGAAAATAAGCAAAACCCAAACAACAGAAAAGGTTATTCTTACTTGATAAAGGCACAGTCTTAGATTACATGAAGCAAACCTCTTCAGTCCTATAAGCACAATATAACAGGACTGCAAAACAGTATGAAGTATGTGCATTTCTTATATATGTGAAATCTACTTCAGATTTATTTCCAACCATGTTTTTTTAATCAGATTATTTTTTTCATTTTGAAGTAGACTTTTAAAAAGTAGCAACATACACAGAAAATACTAGAAAGATACTAAAAAATACTCAAAAAAAGATACTCAAGCATGCAGACTTACTTGCATTCCCCAGGTGTACTGCAACCCCCATGGAGCAAATTACATCCTTGTTTACATACAGCTGAAAATAGAAAAAGGTTTATGCATCAGTCTGGGCAGCCAAGTATCCATTAGTAGAGCAGCAACCTGGAACTGCTCAGCTAGGGCTTCTGTCACTTAGCCTCTTCATTGCTTGGGCAAAGCAGACTGTCTTTTGCCATGTTCCAACAGGTACTGCTTCTGGCTAGCTAGTTCACAAAACACAATCCCATGACAACTGTCAATGAAAAATAACTCCTGGTAAAATTTGCTACCACATAGTTTTGCAGTAAGAGCATCAGCACTGAAATATTTAATAAATACAGTTGTTTTGTAAACCTGGTGTTAGACTGGTATTATAGTCAAAGATACACATGACCTGAATAAGCCCCAAAAATGGTCTTCCATCTCATTAATAGGATTTTTACAGAAAAGGAACAGAAAACAAAACCAAGAAGCCCTCAACAGAAGAGTATGTGAAGCAATTTTAGCACTAGTGTACTCACTGAGACTAAAGGTAAAGAGACTTGACTGAGTAGTACGTTAAAAAGGCTGCCTGCACTTGAATTTCTGTTCACATAAGAGCTATCAAAAAAATTCCACCTTGGCATCCAATACACTTCAATTTTTTTCATTTGTAAAAATAGTATTACAAAGGCATTTTTACAGGATTAAAGCTACAGTGTTACTGATACAATCACTGTTCAACAAAATGTTATATTAACAGATGTAACATATTTTTGCTTTGAATTAACACCACCATTGAATAAAGTCAATTAGTAAAAAGATGATTCACTATTTCAAATCCTAAATCTGTTGTGTACCCTCCATAGCACACACCATAAGCAACAATGTATCCTGCCCTGGGCTCCACGCCTCAGAGGATGTTTTTTCAAAGTTTTATATTCAAAGAACAAAGTATGTAGGTCTTAAAACTAATATGCTACACTACCCACACTACAGAAATACCTACTGCTGTTTACACCTCTTATACATATATTCAAACTAATCTAAAATGAAGCAAACAATACTACCTTGTTTACATTCTTCTCCCATCCAACCTTCCATGCAGGCTTTGTTTCCATTTTGATCACACGTGTAGTGACCAACAAAATCGTCTCGAGGGCCACAAAATTTATTGCACAGAGCACTGTAGTAATTTTCATCACACTTCACTCTTATTTGAACTTCAAAATGGGCAACAGGACCATTAAACTGTAGTGTCTTCCATCGATCTTCAGGGTTGATCATGCCAGCATGTGCCACTCGTTCTATTAACAAGTCTTCACCTTTTAAACAAGATAAAGTCAACAGGTGGTAAGTTTGACAGCACACAAGCACATAAATTCAAATAAAAAGTATTCAACTGGTTAAGAGAAAAACCTAGTAAAGAAAATGCTGATATGATAAAGATCTACCATCTAACTGAATTCTCCTTTGCCTTGCAAAGATCATTACAGGAAGGCCAATTTAAAAGTGTCCCAAAGGAAATATTAAAAAACCCTGGAACATAATCCATAGGAAATAGCTTATTTTTCAAGGCAGCCAAACTTACCACACCCACATGCTGACAACTAGCAGCTTTATCTTGATCTGAGGCTCTCTTTGCCTCCTTTTTTTCTTACAAAATTGCAAAATCTGCATATCCTAGCAGCTGAGATGTTGAAGTTCTCTCATGCGAATTCCATTTCAGAAATAAAGCAAAACACAATCAATTTGCTGCAAAATTCTTAGGCAATAGTAAATGCTCTGGTAGGCTTCCATTATGTACAAAAACTAGATTTTTTCTTTTTGTCATTCTCTACACTACAGGCAAAATATCCTTACCAGACATTTCACACAACACTTTGTGCAATTAGTTTTTGACATTTTCAGAAGAAAGATATCAGTTAACCCAGATTGTCAAGGGGCCATTCTCAATTCTGTATCCTGCTTATTCTTATCCTCAGTGGAACTACTGATAATTATGATCGGTGTTGCAATACATTCTATAAGCATCCTGCCTTGTCCTCACAGAAAGCAGCAGCACTGCTACCACCAGGCTCCATTAACTCAGACCAAATGTGCACAAAGTATTAGCAGTCACATGGGACAAGAGGATTCTAGGATATGAGATCACAGAACTGCCAACACAAAGTATTTCCATTCTTATGAATACTCATTTTGTATTTATGCATTTTATTCTTGGTATAGAAGCTTCAGTACTAGGAGATGAGACAATTATAGTCAGTAAATGTTAAGAATAAGCAAGGCACTATAATGGTAAGGGTAGACAGTGAGTAACCCCAGTGATAAAGAGTTTTCAAAAGTTTTCGTTATTCAAATCTGGTAACATCCTACTGCAAGAGTTTTTCTAGGTGACTCTGCAAGCTGCATCTGGAACTCCAAGCACTATTTCAGGAGAAGAACCAAGGTAGAGAAGATCCATTTATATACATGAATTTCCTACCTGTTTGTGAAACAGCTACAATATTGCCAGCTCAGAGCTGGCAGAGTCCATTTTATTTAAATTTTAAAGATTCTTTAAAATTCATATTAAAAGAAATTAAAAGCCAAAAATTTGCAGAGGGCAAGAAGAGCTTGTAATAGTTGTGAGACAAAGTCTAAACTTCAGACTATTAATAATATAAAGCATCCAAAGCTGATAGTAAGCAACACTAAACTATCATTTTCAACAGATGTGTTTCACCTACTTACTTTCTAGAACTCATTAACCTAACCAGTTTAGAAAATAAAACCAAAGGAATGACTGTTTCTCACCTAGGAAGCTACTGATAGCATAAAGGTAAACTATGCAGCCATTACCAAGGCTGCACTTCCCCCTCAGCATGTAAAAGGACTCAAGACAATTTTCAGTCACTCCAGCATTAATGGAAAAGGAAATCTACAGAAGTAGTGGGCTCTGCAGTGCATTTTGTTATCTTAACATCTTTTTTTCAAGTGTGCTTCTACCATAAAAGTCTTTCCTCTTAATATGAAAAACATTTAACTAAAAAAAAAACAAACCAAAGAAAAAACACCAAAAAAACTATTTTAATTCAGCACTGAAAGACTCTCCAACCATTAAGAACTCAGTATCTCTAATATTAGAAGTGGTATTGCCATGTATAGGCTACAGTTCATGCCTGCCTGGACTAGTGTGCATAAAACATTTTATGGCTAGACCAGACAGGCTGAAGTCTATCCCCATTCTTTAACTCTCACATTTCTCCTCTGTTCAGCACCACATGGGTCAGTGTAAGAGTGGACAAGAAATCTTCAAGCTAGAAAAGGATGCCTGCCTTTTATTTTTTACTGAACAGGGTATCTATCACATCACCAGACACCATTAAAAGTTTCATGAATAGATTAAACATTCTTTCTCTAATGACTATTGATCTGAAAAACCTTTATGATCAAACTATAAAGGGAAGTGCTGAATAATTGGTCAAAGAATTTGAACAAATAGCAAATTTGCACTATAGAGCCATTTTCCAGCCATAAGGAACACAGGTTCATTAAAAACAGCTGCAACAGACAGTGTTTCCTCAAACTTCATCAGATGGACTAAAGAACAGGTCCTGAAATTAAAGGACTGGCTTATATAATTAAAATCTTATCAAGCATCAGGGTAGTGCAGATTTATCAGATAGTTAAACAACTGGAACAAGCATTACAGCTATTGCAAATATACCTATGCAGAACAGTCCTCTTAATACCCAGAGTGGAGAACAGGGGAAATAACTCATTAATACCTCTTTTTAAAATTTTATCTTCACAAACTCCTTTGAAAAAGATTTTATTCTGACTCTTGAGAGCTATTCCTCTAGTTTATATCAGTAAAAGTAGGGCTTAACAACCTAAACAAGCAATCCAAATAATTTACTCTGAACCCACACAGGCATTAGGAAATCAGCTCCAAGACATTTAGCTTCTAATACTAAATTCTTAAGTACCAAAGTATGAGAATTCTGCTTTACTTCAAAGTAAAACTGATTCCAAATAGAAGGTGCATCTTCCAGAGAGATCTGTAATCGTGGGGAGGAACATGTTTGTCAAGGTTCCTTCTTCCTCCCCCACAATACCGAAGTGTTTTGGAAGATATTCAGTCTCTCACATTTAACTGCTTTGATGAGATGGGTTTGCTCCCTGCATCTGGTTTAACCATTAAAATTCACGTTAGGAACTCACATACGTTGCTTTTAGCTCTTAGTAAAGGCAACGAGCTGCATAACTGGGTGTGACTGGGCATTGGTCATAAAAGCAGCATGCTCTAACAGTCCTCTCCAACTCAGAAGCAACAGGGCTTTTTGGTTACTAAGTTTTCTAGAATTGTCTCTAGAAAGCAGGTAATGGTACAGATGTTTGCATAAAAGAGGATAGCTAAAAGGTAGCTCTTCAATTAAACAACCGATTTTTCTAAGAGGACTCCTTATATGAAAAGTATTTAACTGCAACTGTACAGCCAGGAGCTGTGACTACACTTCAGGGTGTGCTCACCAGCACACTCACTTTCAGAGGTCAGACATTCCCAAGAAGCCACTCATAGGGCAATGCAAAAGGTGATTTTGGTAGCTGCTTGCATAAGAACATGAGAGTGTAAGAACTTCATGCCCAAATGAACAAAAGGTTCCCTTCTCAGGAAGTACTTTGTCTTCAGCCTTTTTCAAGGAGGCAGATTCGCATCCTACAGACTAACACGAAAGAGGAAGGTAACCAGTGCATCCCTGCAGTAGACATCTAGTCAAACAGGAAGCTACTCCACTGGTAAAGATGCCAGCTTGCTTTATAATGGCAGTACTGGGTCAGGCACTGCCAAGACCTCTGCTACACAACTAGAAGTTTGCCAAGTCAAACGACTTACCTGGATAGTAGCACAAACTGCTGTGACAGATGACAGAGAACAGACCTTTCACAGGGACTTTGTATCTAAGGCAGTTTCCTCTCTCTCTCCTCCACCCTCACAAAGTAAACAAGTGGTAACACTATACTGCCACAAAAGGTTCCCTCTGATCCAACCCTGCTGCACAGGGGAGGAAAAGAGTGTAGTAGTTCAGGAATCAGGATCTGAAAGACTTTCAGAGTTTGTAGCTTAAGGTTAAGTACTGGGGAAAGATTTGCCCTGACGGACTTACTCTTGAGATGGGTTCTTCACAGATCTGATCACCCCATCTTGCTTTCAATGGGTACAAAGAATACAGGATGCTAGGACATGGAGGGAAGACTGACAAGTGTTCTAAAACCTTTAAGATATTCACTGGAAACCCCTCTTCCCAGGTTTCGATTTTTGTTTGAGGTGGGTTTGTTTGGGTTATTGTTTGGTTGTTGTTTTTTTATAAATACCCACTTGAAAGTCCAAGCAGGAGCACAGGACCTGCATTTAACTTTCAGGCTTACTCATCCTCATTAAAGGAAAGTAAAACCTGACTTTGGAACTAATTAATCAGCTTATAAACAGACACTGGCAATTACTTTCATTAATCTTTCTTGTAGTAGCAACAAAAGACACAGGTAACCTGATCCAGAGATCAGTGTTCAGGATATGACAGGGAGTTCAGCTTTCCACAGATACTCTCTTCACCCCTCTAGTATGAAGACAGTGTTTCTCTGGAGGAGATGCCACATTCCCTTTCCTGTTATCTTACATAAGATTTTTTACTGATCTGTCCCTGTTTGGCAGTTCAGCAGTCCTTGCAGTAACACAAGAGAAGTGTCTTTGCCTCTTGACAGATAGACAAGGCAAAAAACCCATTAGAGGACTCCCTGCCAAGACCACTCAAAAAAAATTAATCTTCAGCATTAAGGATTCCCTAGGAATCCAATATGCAAATCTAAATTGCATCATGGCAATGCAAGATGTCTCTACCTGGAATCAGTAAGCAGAATACAGAAACATTTAACCAACACAAGTGTTTAGCTAAACTTCTGCCATATTACTGGCCAAGAAAGCCTTCCTAAATGCACGTGGCAAGCCTCCTAAGTTTCAAATGCAACACAACTTTACAGCACCTCTCTGAGAGCCTATATTAAAGGTAGTTTAGGAGTTTCTCATAAGAGCTAAACTGTAATGTGACACTTAAGACTGCTCCAGTTCAGAGAAACCATTAAGGAGATGGCCCACTGGGCCTCCAAGAGACACTGTATATCCCCCCTTGTCTTGCCATTCGGGGAAAAAAACCAAAACATCAATAGAAGTTAAAAGATTTGTTAGAGCATGTTAAAAAAACTAAAAGCCTAAAGTGACTGTCCCTTTATCGAGGGTATTTTAAAGCTACAGACTCACAGTAGGATTCTGCAGATTCTAAGGCAAACATAGTGAGTTAGAAGAGCATTATTTATTAAGCAGCTCATTAAAAAATGTGCATACAGATCTCTTTTGCAGGATAGGCTCTTCAGGTTCACCCCTTCTACACGACCTCATGAGTTTATCTGCCATGTAGACTTTGGGCATGAATATTCCAATAGTCACTGTATTAACTGCCCCAAGTTAAATTATTCCCAAGCTGGAAACTATTTAAAGGAATTAACTTAATGTAGTACCCTTTGAACAAAGGTGGCCTTCAATGAGTTGCTATGTAGAATATCTAAACTTATTCAAGATTCAGGCTTACTCTGCTCAGCACACAAGATCTCATTTTGAATACCAGGTTCAGCTTTGGGAACTGCCACTCAAGAAGGCTGTGGACCAACTGAAGGGTTGCAGCAACATGAACTACCAGAGATCTAAAGAAAACATACCTATTAGAAAAGGTTGAAAGATCTGGTAAACAACAAGACAGAAGCAGCTTAATTCTAACTGAGGAGGGCTCAGGAACAAACTACCACCTCATCATTATTTTGTCTATCATTGGAGACAGAGTATGCCAGGAAAATGGGAAGTCCATCAGGAAAATGCAAGTGGGACAGATCTCAATCTTCAAGAGAACTCTGAAACTCTAACATAGCCTAATATCAAGCTTTGCCAACTTTTTACGCTTGATGCATCTTGATAAGGATGGTCAGCAAAGCAGCAGAGAATGGAATCTATCATTAGAAACTGATAATGATTTGGGACATAAACCTTTACTATCATAATGTCCAAACAGTTACCTTCCTCTATATTTATCCCAGCCAAAATTAAATAGTCCATCGTTAACCACAATGCTAGTCTGAAGTTCACTTAACACTTGCAGTTAAAGCGTTGATTATTTTAAGACAGGTTTGTAAACCATTACCAAAGAATAGATTTGAGCTGGAATCCTACTTTAGCAACAATATGTCAAACAGCAACTTGATCCAATTTTGAGGTATTTAAACAATAATCTTGCTTTTCTTTCAGCCCTGATTTGACACTGAACACAAGCATTTACAGACCAGAAATGCAAGGTAACTTTCAGTACTTGAGGAGAAACAAATGAAGAAAAAAATCATACCACAATTTAAAACACTTTCACCAAACACATCAAATATGGCTCTTTTATGGAGAGCAAGAATGGTTATTGGCTTAGCTGATGATGAAAAATATTGCACAACATTGTTAGGGGTAAACTGAGGAGAATTTCAAGTACAACTCTACATCAAATTTCTCCTTTTTTTAAAAAAAAGGCCTATCATGATCTTTTAAAGATTTTTTAAAGCTAATTATTACGAGCCATGCATTATAAGCTTCACTTCCTACTGTTATTTTTTTATCAGGAATAATTTTTCCCAGTTCTAACCCAATATGCTCTGCCTGAACTTGCACATGCCCTTTACTTAGCAGACTTGCATTCAGACTGATTTGCAGAGATGGCTAATTGCAGCAATATCTCATTTCCCCAGTTTCTGTACCTACAGCACAGAGTAAGTGAAAACTGCAATTTTTACATAAATACTCACCAGCTTTTGTATCATTATCCCAATCCCATGCTTCTAATATTAACGTGAAGGATCTCTGCAAAGAAATAAAACATCAATTAGATAGTGATAAAAAAACTACCATGACACACCAGGCACAAAAAGGGATTTGGAATAAGGAGATACTGCTGCTACAAGAAAGCCAACTGAAAGCAGCTAAAAATTTCACTTCTCTGCTGTCATGTGAAAGCCCTTGAAGGCATCTTCTCAAACACATGAAATATAACAGCAGTAAAAATCTTGGGGCAAAACATATGGGTGTTACTTCCCATATGGGTTAAAACTCAAATGAGGGGTAAGAACAGTGGGAAACAGCTAGAACATTTAGGACTTTAGCAACTGAAGACCAAAAAAAAAGAGAAAAAGGAATAAAATCAGAGACATTCTCTAGGAAGGACATGAAAGATCAGCCTATATAACAGGTCTGGTTGCTGTTTTCTGGAAAAGCTTATCTAAAGAAGAAACATACAAAAATCCACCCTGCACTTATCAAGAATTTTTACTTCTGTCTCATGGAAGGGGTAGTATGAAAAATGGACTTTCAAAATACACATCAGAAAGATAAATTGTTACAGGAAGCACACTGGGTAGCACACTTTCCCCTGAGGAAAAAGGAAAAGCATGACTGCAGACAGCTTAACATGGTTTGGGAAAAACATGAAGACTTTATTTTACTCAAGTAAGGCTTCAGGCCTATTTCTTAGGTTTATGAGCAAATATGTAGGATAGATATCGATTTTCAAATACTAAATTTAAAGTTATCTTATGCATACCTATAACATTTACTTGTTTTTAGTTTAACAGGAATATCTCTCAAACCCTTCAGCTTTGCCAGTTTCCAGTTTGTCCAAGTTAACATTGAGATTCTCATATACAGTTAAAACCAAGGAAAAAACCTCCAGGAACAGGAATGGTTGTACCACTACCCTAAAACCCTCATATATATATCTTTGTGCTTAGAAGCAAGCCACACCAAAAACTGAAGCTCATTAAACACAGCAGAGCCAAGTTTTAATGTGTACAGAACTCACAGGCTAGCAGCCTATTAATTCACAGGGACATTCAGCCAAGAAATGGAGAACTGTCTTCAGAAGAGGATTATTTAAAAATTCAGCTCTTTCACAGGGTGCTTAGGACTATCTGCTGTTGCATTGAGAGTCGTACATTTTTCTCTGGAGATAGCCTGGAAGTGCTTTGTGTGCCCTTCCCCTTCTCACCAAAGATTGATTGTAATACTGAAATCTCCCATTTTTGGAACAACAACAACAGCAAGAAAGATGACTCCAAGCAACCTGAGCAGAAGGGCTCTGCCTGAGGTCCTTCAAGACTACAGCAAGGGATCAGTCTATTCAGAAATGCACTTAACTGAGTATTTTTTATGTTGCTTAGTTAAATTAACATTTAAGCCACAACATATTTCTTTGAAATTTTTTTCTTCTGTACTTTCAGTCTCACACACGCTAGGGCAGATTTTCCATCACTGAACCAAGATAAAGGCTTAGAGGTAAACAGATTACCATGAAGGAAGGAAAGAGGAGAAAAAGAAAGCTCAGCAGTGACCACTTCGGAAAAGAACTGGTGGAGATTAGTTGAAAAACTGAAAACCTCTACTTTTGAGGTATGACAATATAGCACAAACACAACTCCAGAAGTTTTCTGAAAACAAGTGTCAGTGAAGCATTTCAGGAGCTTTACCCTTCAACTCTCTGCTTTCTCCTGCCCCCATGCTCAGCATTTAGGGAAGCAGGATATGGTCCTACCATATTCTGAAAGCACTAGCTATCACCCCTCTCCTAAACTGCTACCTGAAAAATACAGTGATTAGTATTAGAAGGTAAGCACTACATTGTACTGCCTGTTACCTTCTGGCAATTACAAGTCTCATTTTGAGTCGAAACTAGAAATGTTAACCTAGGCACAATTCTGCAAATCAGTGCATGATCCAAAGCTGTTATTCACCTCTCCTGCTTTTGACAACTGATCTTCTAACATAGCCTTCAGTTTTCCAGTATTCCATTGATTAGTATTAGAAATACAAAACAATGCTCAGGTGCTTCCTCTACTACCTCATAGGAACTTAACAGTATGCTACAGGCAACTATGACTGGTGCATAATTCTTCCTCCAAGATGGAAGACAACTGAATTTCTGACCAAATGAAGTGACCTTTGCAGCCCATGCAGCTCTGGCTGCCTCCTGGTGGCAGGCAGGGCATGGACATGGCTCTGCAAGCTCCAGGTTGCACAAGCCTGGTTTCAAGCCCACGCTTCTAGCCTCCCTCCCACTGGTGGCCATCAGGGGCTACAAGCCTATCTATAAAAAGCTTAAGGAACATAGATAACAAAGAGAAGACCCAGACTTTAAATCCTTTAACTTATTGACATCTCAGCCTCTGTTTTCCCATAGCCCTGAAGTAGGTAACAGGAAAACACTTGGCTGTTTACATGTAAGCAAGCACAGAGGGTACAAAATGTCAGGAAGGTTCTTAGTCAAACTTGTAGGAGATCAGAGATATTTAGCAAATGGCAGTAAATGGTACTGATAGACAAATGTACATTATTAGAAAAATCAGCTTCAGCTCAGTAGTGCAACTTCCTATTTTCTACTGACAGTTACAGAGTCACCCTTCAAAACCCCCTAAAAGACATAGTATGAACACAAGCAGAAGAGAAACTGAATTTTGTGGCTATTCTACTTCTAGGTAAGAGAGATAAGGTTACCAAGCCAGCCTGTCATCTCTTCCTCACCTACAGCTATTTAGTAACTTTAAAGAGAAATTGCTCTCCATGGTAGCAGATGGATTGTCATGTTACAATTTCTACACCTCAAAACAGGAAACAGATCCTTGATGTACTGGTTAAAAAAAATCCCTCTCCCCTCCACCACAAGTATCAAGTCTTGCACTAGATCTGCTTAAATTCTTCTGAATTTTGCACTTCATTTTGAAACAGTTGAAAATTTACAAAGAAGCATCTATATTACTGATTATCATTGAATCACAGAACGGTTTGAGTTGGAAGGGACTTTAAAGATCTTCCAGTTCTGAACACCCTGCATGGGCAGGAACACTTCCCACTAGATAAGGTTGCTCAGGGCCCATCCAACCTGGTCTTGAACACTTTAAGGGATGGGGCTTCCACAACTTCCCTGAGTAATTGCATTCATGGTATGCAGCACCAAGAGCTTTCTAGTTACTGCTCAACTATCAGAAGCATTTGCTTGACCATCAAAAACATCTGACTAATGTTTAATGTCCATACACTCACTCATATTGGGAGCCCTGCCCAATAACCAGAGTAAGAGCTATAAGCTGAATAACACTAATGGATATAAATTGTATAATACTTTTAGTTTACACAATAGACATAGTAATTTTATGAAAGTTCTACCATTGACTTGCATTAGTCCCATCTGTACTCTTCAACAGAAAGTGTATGTTAGACCACCCAGCACATCTGCTAGCACCAGCTGCAACTAACTCTTCTGTAGCAGAGGATAAATACACCAGATAACATCTATCTTAAATAGTGCTTCCAGAAAACAATTACAGAACTTGCATTAATTTAGCTCTTGTCCAGAATCTAAGGTCTACCCATACTGTGAATTTTTAAACTCCTCACATCATCCAGCAGTATATTGGCTCTCTGATATATCTTTCTTAAGAAGTCTAGCTTGAAAGCTATTTAAGGGAAGGTCTCCACAGAGGCTGTTGATCTAAGTGTCTTCAAGTTCCTGTATGAATTAAACAGAAAACTCTCTAGTTTTCTAACAAGTGTCAAAAGACTGCCCCAAATGCATGAGTCCTTTATACAGAATGGACAGCCACCACCACACCTGCTTCTTTTCTAGCTTGCACAGAACTCTTCTTGTAGGCTGATGAGACTAGAAACTTGCAACAGCAAGACATGGACATTCCAGTCTGTTCTTATGTAGAAGAAAAATGTTGTAAAGTAGCATCTGTTGTTAATTTCAATTAGTAGTAGCAAAATATTTTTTAAGCATTTTTCTAGTGGCCATGGCACAGATTGGAGGGGAAGGGGATAGAGGTGAACATACAACACTGAAAATAAACTTATTTCTACTGACTTTGGTGTCTAGGTTTATCTTCCAGAAAGAATTAAAACATACAACAGCATCTGTGCTCACCAAATCAAAAACCAGAAGATGTTAAAGGCTACAAGTCAGAAGAGGAGCATCATCACACTCCCGCAGAAGAGGACAGTTTTATAGAAGAATTGTCTCATAGGGGTTAACTAAAGAGATATGCCAAGCAGTTTGGAAAGATACAAATTAAGCCTGTTTATCCTAGTGATGCTGCTTCAGTTGCATTTTTCTCAGAATTGATGTTGACAAAAGCAGCTTCAAAGTATTATTCCACTGTTTACACTAAACAAAACACTCCCTGTACTATCCCAGCGACCTCCTTTCTGTGGAGGGGGGAAGATGATCTGTAATATTGGTTTGGAGTTGTCTTTTCATGAACTATTAGTATTATCTTGATATTAACAAATAACATTAGCAGGGGTTTGGGTTTCTTTTTTTGGCAAACCAGACATGTCAGACTCTTCATTCCAAGAAAGATGATCAACCTTGTAACAGCACTTCCAATCAGCTACAGAACTTATATTCTCCAATTCAAAATCTGAAAAAAGCAAAAAGCTATGGCTGAGCTGAAAACAGCACTTGATATTTTCTGCACTGGTAACAAGCTAGTGTGGATTAAAATACTTTTATTCTAACAAAGAATTATCAGTTTCATTTCAATAGAAGGAGAGACTGGAGTTTCTACAGGGGAAAACCTCAAGAAAGCAGCTATAAAGTACCAAAACGCACAGCTTCTGAACAAACTCAGAGCTCACATTACCTTCCTGTTCCACAGTCAACCCAGTAAACACAGAATCTCAGGACCAGTAAGCACCATTTCTTTTCAAATCTAAGTCAAGGACAGGCAATATTTGTATTTGAACATTTCAACCATAAAAACAAATCAAATAACAGCAACATATAATTATTCTTATTACTAGTCTAATTTTTGTAA